GGGGAATAGGTGAGGAGGGGATGTTCAGGGGGGAGGGCAACATGATGGGAGGGGAATTCAGGGAGGGTTGCAGTTGCGGAGGCGGGGGCCAATCAGGGAATTTTGGGGCAAGGGGGTTCAGGAATAGGCCGGATGGGGGAAGGCGATGGGGATGAGAAAGGGGGCAGGGCGCCGTGTGCCACGTTGAGGGGTTTGGGGGGGAGGAGCCGCGTGGAGCCGACGCGTGTGCCACAGACGCCGCCGTCGGCAGCGGCGAGCGGGTCTGGTCAGTCACGACGCTGCGTTGCGGGGAGCGCGCTGCCAGCTTGCCGCCGCCCATCGGCCAGTGAGCTGGCGACGCCTGCTGTCCACTGCCTGCCCTGCAAACATGCCTGCAAGTGATGCCCGCAGTGGCACTGCCTGCGCAGTTGCACTGCGACTGCACCATGCGAGCAGCCGCCTACACGGCACAGGGTACATCGACCGGCCCCCCTTAAGCACCAACCACGCCAGCCCACCGGGCCGTCGGACGACCAGGCCACCAGGCCGACCGACCACCAGCCCACCGGCCCACCTTGATGAAGGTCTTGATGCTGGACCGGCGCGCCTGGGTCTTCTTGCTGGACCGCTTGGTCACCTGGGCGCGCGGGCGGTGCAGCAAGAGCCCAGGAGACATGAGCAAGCGCTGCTGCAGCGTCGACGACGCTCCGCTGCGCGGCGTACGTGTGTGCCTCGCGAGCGGGGCGGCAGCAAGCTGTAAGAAGCGGCCCTTGTCGAGCCGCAATTGCTGCGGCCGCTGCCATGTCCGCTGCTCCAACGCCGGGGGCCTGCTGGCGGGCCTCCAGGCGTGACACGCCAGCAGTATTTCAACCGCTGCCGGCGCCGACGCGGACGCTGCGGATGCGCTTGCCGTATCGCATGCGCCATATGATACCACTGCTGCCCTTGTGCCTTGCGCCAACTCGTCTATGGCAGCAGCAACAGCCGACATGGCCAGCAACTCACTCGATCACCAGACCAGGCCTGGCAAGCTGACCTCGCCCTCTCCGCCAGCGGGCGGAGCGCGCTGCACGACGCACCTTCCGGGGCTCCTTGGAGAGGCCGCAGACGAGGGCGTGGCCATAGGGCCGCGCGCTGTTGCCGTCGTCAAAGTTCTTGACGATAACGGCCTTCTTGCCGGCGTACTTCCCCGTCAGAAGGATCACCACCTTCTGAGTCTGTTCGGGCATCAGGCACAGCAAGAGGCGCTACCGGTTGTGAACGCAAGGCTGCTGAGCCGCTCACCGCTGCCGCTGCCGTCGCGATTGCGCGCAGCGCTGCGGATGCTGCTGCGCGCGGACGCCGCCGCTGCCAGCCGCCAAACCGTCGATCATTCGGACTTTTCATCAGTGGACTCGTGGTGCAAGCAACTAAAAGGGCACACAGAGCTGCATACGTGCAGGCCAGCAAGCACAGAAAGCCGTCCACCGGTGCTGCTCCGTTGTGCTGCTGCTGTGAGGGTTGCACCTGCGCCCTCAACAGGTTTCAAACAGTCATTTCTGTCTGCTGCAGGAGCTCCAGCGGCACCGGTCGCCCTTGTGCATCGATGGCTGCCAGTGCCTCCGCTCTCAGCTGTCCCCAGCAGTCTCCGCACCTTGAGAAACTTCACCATGGCTCCTCCTCGTTTATCAACGCTCTGTGGCACGTAGGAAAGGACCGTGCTGGCTCCTTGCTCCTGCATAAGTTGCCTAGTGTGTGCAGTGTCCCTCCCTCTCCTGGACTCCCAATCGTGCTGCTGTCCGTTGGCTGGCGAACACGCAGCATGCGATATACACATGCTGCCGTGAAATCTCCACAATCAACAATCGTGTTCTACACGGCCCAGATCACACTCCAACGTCACTGATCAGCTGCCACCACGCAGTTAGACCCCAAGGAGGGCTGTGGGGATCTTAGGTCTTCACCTCAATATGTCAGGCCTGCTAGCGCGGCTGTGGGGCGAGTCGCGCGCCGATGCCGCCACTGCAGCAGCAGCATCGCCATCCGCTCCTGGAGGGCACACGGACTCCACACCAGGCTCCTTCTGCAGCAAAGAGCTGCCAGAGGTAGGAAGTTGCACAAGTGTGTCAGGATGCTAGTGACGCAAAGGTCATTGAGATGCAGCAGGCCTCCTGCAGGAGTGCCGGCTGCCGAGTCCGTTTTGTGGATGTTCGCAGCACGGGTCCAGCTGGGTGGGTCGTCGCCGGCTGCGAGATATGAGCGTTGATGGGCATGCCTTATGTCTGCCACCAGACTGCTGGCGCTGTGCTTGTCCATATGGAGCATTTCGCCCCGCCCCCCAGATGCTGCGGCCGTTTGTGGAACACCTCGTGGACGCCGCCTACACAGGAGCAGCCCCGGCCCCGCCCCCAGACCAGGTGTGGGCGCACTTTCCCGCACACACGCCCGCGCGCGAGAGGGCAACAAGCAGCCGCGACGCCTTCAGGCTTGCATTTTGCTATCAAACGGCTCCAGCACGCGCTCTGCACCCCGCTTCGCAAGCGCCGGCACGCCTGAGCCGAACATTGTCCCCCCTGCCACACCGCCCCCAGGACGACCCCCCACCGCTGCCCACCCGGCTGCCGGCTGCAGAGCGGCTCGTGGCCATAGGGGACCTTCATGGTGACCTGCCAAAGGCGCGCCGCGCGTTCAGGCTTGCGGGACTCACCGACGAGGCGGGCAACTGGACGGGCGGGAGCACTGTCTGCGTGCAGGGGTGCTGACGAGGCGG